AAATGTCACCTTACACCTATTAGAATGACTGGCATCAAAAAATAAGAAATAAGCATTAGTGAGGATGTGGGGGGGAAAAAAGAACACATTCTTGTTCTTTGTGGGAATGTAAATTGGTGGGAATGTAAATCGGTGGGGTCATTGTGAAAAACACTGTAGAAGTCCCTCAAAAAATTAAAGATAGAATTACCATATGATCCAGTAATTCTACCAACAAAGAAAACAAAAACACTATTTCGAAAAGATATATGCACACCTATGTTAATTGCAGCATTATTTATAATAGCCAAGATACGGAAGGAACCCAAGTGTCCATCCATAGATGAATGGATAAAGAAGAAGTGGTATGCATGTGTGTATATACATATATATGTGTACATGTATACATGAAAGCATGTAGAGAAAGCATGAATTCTGAAGTCTGAATAAACACAGAAAATAAAGTAAAAAGCCATCACAATCTATTTCAAAGCCCATCTGTTATATAAATGAGCCAATGATGGCTTCCATACCTTGGCCCCTACATTGTTTACTTCTTTACAGCATGTTGAACCCTGGTAGCTCAAAGCCCACAGGTACCAAAATTTTTACATACCTAATTATTTTACATATAGCCCAAAGAAATAGATTTTTAGCCATCCAGAGCCCACCTACCTTGCATATCCCGGAAACTGTGCCCAATATCTGCTAGTCATCGATAAGATAAATTCTGCCTGCTATAGGTAGATAAAAACCCCCAAGTTATTGCTGCCCTTTGGTACTTTCTGACATAGAGTCCTCCCCCTCTCCAAGCTAACAGCACCTAATCAAGTAAGCTTACTCTCTGATCCCCATCTTTTTCCTGGGTGTTAGTCCTCCTTCCCTTCTGAGTACTGGCCTGTAAGCCTATAACCTCTGAAAGGTCTCGTGAAAGGTGAGGGATTTCCCCAGCAAGCAAATGTTCCAAGCAGTGTACCCAGACAAAAGTTGTTGAAGCTACTGCCACCTCATGGTCATATCTTTTACTTCAGAACCAGCAGAACCACCTCCCCTTACACAATTCTGGCAGAATAGCCTTTGGCCAAACGAAAGAACAATTCAAATTTTTGCTCAGAGAGTAAGTGTCCTACACACATTTTTTTCAGGAAAAAAAAATAACAATTTCTTCAATTGATAGAATTGGATTATTTGTAGTTTCATGACATAACTCTGGGGTCTTACTGACTACAATACAGTCCAGAATTCCATTTTTTGCCCTCTTTGTCTATTGTCAACTTATGACCTTTAAATACTATTCATATTTATCAGTGTTAATGAAAACTTCAAGTTCTCACTAACCTTAGTACTTCCCATTACACTTTATTTTATGTCATTGAGGTTACTTAGGCAAGTCCTTTTTTTCCTTGACATATCTTAAATGCTTATCACAGAGTTTCAGGATTGAAAAAAAAATTGCTTTTGACGCTTACTTAAATCCCTTCTACCACTTTCTCAGCCTACATCTGACAAAATCCATGATAGAAAGTATTCTTCTGAAGTAGCTTGGTCCATCGCTGGACAGGTTTCTTTTTCTTTTCTTTTCTTTTTTTTATTTATTTCTTTGACAGACAGAATTCACCAGTAGGCAGAGAGGCAGGCAGAGAGAGAGGGGGAAGCAGGCTCCCCGCTGAGCAGAGAGCCCGATGCAGGACTCGATCCCAGGACCCTGTTATCATGACCTGAGCCGAAGGCAGAGGCTTAACCCACTGAGCCACCCAGGCGCCCCTACTGGACAGGTTTCTCTGTTAGAAAGCTATTCTCCATATTGAATTGTAATTTATCTCCCTGTAACTTTTAACTATTATTTTTAATTCTGTATTTTGGAGACAAATGGGACAAACTGAATTGCTGTGTTAAATGATCACCTTCTCTTTTTTTCTGATACAGTCTTTATCTTCCAATTTAAATATGCAAGTTCCTTCCACTGTTACTCATTTTTCATAATTCCAAGCCCTTCTAAATTGCTTCCTCCAAAATCGCTGCCATTTGCCCATGTGCTTCTTAAATTATGGGACCAGAATTTATGAAGGACTCTTTATCTGACCTCTGCAGAGTCAAACAGGATTAGAATATTACCTCCATTATACATTCCAAAGTCACAATATTAGTTGTAGCAATTATAATGTTCATGTAATGTTGATGTAAATTTTTAATTTACTTTACCCAGGCTAAAGTGAGACTAAAATACAAATTAACAAGACCAGTAAGGCAATACTTAACAGTCAAGTAATAATGGAACAGTTGTTACTGATCTAAAAATCCTAGCATTCCCAGCTTGTATATGTACTCAATTATAGAGAGAAAGGAATAGATGAAATAAGCCTTTGAAGGGTTTTGTAAATTCTTTACTATAACTAAACTCTGTCTTTATATCCTTTGGCTTTATAGAACCCTTTGCTCTTACATTTTCATCCTAAATCCAGGTTGTCTCATTTGTGGGAAAACACAGCTGCATTACTATAAAAAGATATGCAGATGCTTCTGGTTATATGTAACATTCTGATCCAAGGCTTAAAACCAACTTATTCTTCAGCTTAGATCCTGGACTCACCATCTTTCCCTTTTCCCCTAGAGGCTGGACCAATTTAAGCCTCAGTTAAAGAAATACTTTCTGAGATCTAGCCAAAACTTTATCATTGTTATTCCTAGATGAGGCCACTGGGAAAAGTCAGATTATCCAGGAGGGTCAGAAGCAAACCTTGGCACAATTATTTAAAAGCATACAAGGGACTGGAGCTCAGCAGTAAGGCCTGTGTAGACATAGAGTGCTCTGGATCACCACACTTCCAAGATGGACTGTCAAGAGCAGAAAAATCATGATTCACAGTGTGTTTGCTACATACCCTCCTTTAGAGGCAGGGCTATAATCAGTTGTTCCCAAATCAGGAGAAACTATGATGCCCTGTATAACTTCATGTAACCAGCATGAAAGGTCAATATAGTCATTGTGTGGTCTTCAAATAATTGCTATCCTTGATAATATTACTCTTCCAACACTCATCCCCTTACAGTAGTGTGAATTGGAGCACAACTTTGTTTGACATGGCTACACATTTTTTCCTGCTGAAATGAGAGGACAAGGAGATCAAGGCTGACTCCAGGAGAGAGAAACCTACACTTGGATGTCTGGCCTCTATTGGATTCTACAATCCTCACATAATAGCTTTAGGTAAGGTACAGCTCAGATTTTTTTTGGTAATGTCTTTTTTACTTTCCTCTAACCCTTTGTTGTATTTTTTCCTTATGAAAATGTAATTTAAAATAGTTTCCTCCTAATGGAAATTGGTTATACTCTCAAATATATAACATAGCCTACAGCATCAGAACTGTTCTAAATAAACGTTGTCATATGTATTTTATTTATAAATATATTAATAAATATATTTAATAAAAATAATAGTATTTTACTTAAATTGAAATGTTAGCTGAACCCCCAAACCACATGGGCCATGAATAAATTGTGGAATGACAACTTCATTCTATACCTTATTACTTATTCAAATCCCATATACCAGATTTCCTGACCCTGAATATGGGGTAGAAGAAAACATTCGGTAGTAAGAGAAGGACATTTTTCTATTAAAGGACATTGACTAATTCCATAGAGAAAAAATATCAGTTATGGACTATAAACACATTTTCTTCAAGAGGGCCATTTAATAAAATAAAGATATGGACAATGAGAAACAGAAGACAGCAAGAAACAGTGTGCACACACACACACACACACACAACTTTAGAGCAGATTATAACTTAGTGACAACAAGAAAGATCACAGCACAAAGCAGCATGAATGAAAGAGACAAAAAGAAATACGAAATTATTTAAACGGTGTTGTATTGAGCAGGCTCCTGTCATGGATATCCTCCTGTTTTCCAGGACTAATGGTATATCCCTATAAAAAACAAAATCTTTGTTGCCTTGCTTTTGTTTTTAGCAAAGTGGAGTTTCCACTCTTTGCATTTTTTTAAACCTTTTTTCCTCTGGCTATAAGCAATTATTTCCCTAACTGGTTACTATTAGGGCATGTTCATTAATTGAGATAACAAATATTTAGTAAGCACCTATAATATACCAGATAGTGTCCTAGATTCTAGGAATACGTTGGTGAGCAAAATAATGTCTTCCTCTTACATTCAGACTGTTGAGACAGAAAATACACACTAAGTATATAATACAATGCCAGGTAGCTATAGGCACTTCGAAGAAAACTAAAGTGGGTTTGGGAAACAGAGTAGCAAAGATGGGCTAAAGTAGGGAAAGGCCTCTGTGAGTTTCTGATTTTTACCAGAAATCTGAATGAAGTAATAAATTAAGACATGTGTTGGGACGCCTGGGTGGCTCAGTTGGTTAAGCAGCTGCCTTCGGCTCAGGTCATGATCCCAGCGTCCTGGGATCGAGTCCCACATCGGGCTCCTTGCTCATCGGGGAGCCTGCTTGTCCCTCTGCCTCTACCTGCCTGTGCTTGCTCTCTCTCCCTCTCTCTCTCTCTGACAAATAAATAAATAAAATCTTTAAAAAAAAAAAAATTAAGACATGTGAATACTGGCCAGGTGGAGCGAGGGATAAAGAGAGGGGTGATCCAGGCCTGTATATAGACCACCCCTGGCATAGTTAAGGATCAGCACAGCTGGAGTGAGCCCAGTAGGGGTAGGAGTGGTAGGAAATGAGGACATGGAAGAAGGCCTCATTGGCCTTCCTAGCTATGGTAAGAAACTGTTTTGTTTGTTTGTTTGTTTTTAGATTTTATTTATTTATTTGACAGAGAGAGACCACAAGTAGGCAGAGAGGCAGGCAGAGAGAGAGAGAGAGGGAAGCAGGCTCCCTGCCAAGCAGAGAGCCCAATGTGGAACTCAATCCCAGGACCCTGGATCATGACCTGAGCCAAAGGCAGCAGCTTAACCCACTGGAGCCACCCAGACGCCCCAGGAACTGGGGGGTCTTAAAGTATATATATAAAAGATTGAGAGCTAGTAGTTGACATGGTCAGATTTTCTAAAAACTGTCATCTAGTTACTATATGGGTAAGTCTCTAGGCATATAAAAATGGAAACAGGCAATTTAAAAGGCTTTTGTAGTGGTCAAAATGGGAATAACATGCACCAGGGTGAAAGCTGATAGGAACGCTAAAAATTGTTCAGGTTCTGAATGTTTTGAGGCCTAGAACACTTGTTGATGTAGAATATTGAGAGGAGTGGTAAAGATGTGGCCAAAGTGTATAGCCTGGACAGCCGAGTGATTGGTGGTGCCATTCAGTGGTATGGCAGTAAAGGAAGGACTGGCCAGTTTGAGGGAAGAAGAATCTTAAAAAGTTTAATCATAGGCATGTTTCATTAGATATCAAATGGAGATGCTGAGAAAGAAATTGAGCAGATAAATCCAGGTTATGAAAGAGACTTCACAGCTAGGGAGAGAAAAATCTGGCTTCATCTTGCATAGTTGGTTGGCTTTTACATCAAGGGGCTAACTGGCAGGTCACTTGCAGAGAGAGGATCAGTGAAGAAGGAAAAATATTCCTGGGGATTAGGTCCTGGGGAAAACATGTACAGATCAAGTCAACCAGGAGAAACTCTGACATAGAAGCTTGAGATAATATATAGAGAGAAATGAGAATGACTAGTCTATGCACAGATCTCCAATTAATATAATTCAAGTCTCACAATGCTTTCAGTGATATAACACCATAGTTATTTTTACTTTACATGACAAAATATATATAGAATACTATCATGAGGTACTTTCCCTGCATGTGATAAATTTCAACTGAAGACTGAAGCCTGTGTACTCTAGTTAGGGTAAATCTCAGTTAAAAGAGATCATTAGTGTTTAGTCTAAACCTCATTCATTTAGGGACACCTGGATGGTTCAGTTAGTTAAGTGTCTGCCTTTGGCTCACGTCATGATCCCAGGCTCCTGAGATGGAGCCTTGCATCAGACTCTCCGCTCAGTGGCGAATCTGCTTCTCCCTCTCCTTCTGTGATCTCTCTCACTTGCTCTCCCTCAAATAAAGTCTTTAAAAAAATAAAAAAATAAAAAAAAATAAACCTCATTCATTAAACCTCATTCATTCATACCAATTTTATTTAAAATGTTTATTCAAAGTGACAGAACAAGAAGCTTACTCCTCTTCAGCAACAAATTTTTAACTGTAAAAGGAACAAAGCTAAAAATAAAGAATACTTTGAAGAATTGTGCCTATCACCAAACACTGAGAGAAAGTAACATTGCAAATTGTGTGATTTCAGGAGATCTTTAAAAATAAGAGGTCACACAAATGTCACAAGTGGCCTCACTGATAGCAATGGTTGACTCTAAGTTGATGTTTCTGAACTTGGTTGAAAGCCTCTGAATGACAAGAAGCATCTATCTTAATTTTATGTAGTGCTGAGGACACATAAAAAGGCAGGGATTTAATGGCCCATGATGAGCATGGTAATCATGATGGTAAGACTGTAAGAAGGACCCACAGCCCCAAGTTCCTTATTTCCTCCCAATATCGCTGGGGCAAAGTGTGCTAAATATCTTTAAGTAACCTAAAACTGTATTGTCAATTAAATTGTAAAGAAAATTGAAGAACATCTTAAGATGTAGTCATTTGTAACATGGTGATGTCTTACTATTGCAGTTTGAAGAGAAAAAAAAAATGAAAAACCCAGTTGAAAATAACCACTCTGACCCTGTGAGTGAATTCATTCTTCTTGGATTCCCTTGTTCCTGGGAGATTCAGATCCTCCTCTTCTCATTCTTCTTTGCAATCTATGTCCTGACACTAACTGGAAACCTGTGCATTATCTCTGCAGTGTGGTGGGACAACCATCTCCACACCCCCATGTACATCCTGCTGGCCAATTTTTCCTTCCTGGAGATCTGGTATGTCACTTCTACTGTCCCCAGTATGCTAGCCAACTTGCTCTCTGAGACCAGCACCATCTCCTTCTATGGCTGCTTCCTCCAGTTCTACTTCTTCTTCTCCATGGGTACCACTGAGACCTTCTTCTTGTCTGCCATGGCCTTTGACAGGTACCTTGCTATCTGCAGGCCCCTGCACTATCCCACTGTCATGACTGTTCAGCGCTGCATCAGAATAGGAGCTGGGTGCTGGGTGTGTGGCTTCTCCTGTTTTCTCCTCCCAGTTTACCTCATCTCCCAACTTCCTTTCTGTGGTCCCAATACAATCGATCATTTTTTATGTGACCCAGGGCCCCTTATGAAGCTGTCCTGTGTGCCACCTCGTGCTACTGAGATCATCTGTGCCATCTTTAACTCAGTCCTCATTTTCTCCACCTTCCTCTTCATTACCAGCTCCTATACTCTGGTGATCAGATCTGTGCTGAGGGTCCCCTCAGCAGAAGGTCGGCATAAGGCCTTCTCCACGTGTGGCTCCCATCTTGCTGTGGTGTCCCTATTCTATGGCTCTATCATGGTGATGTATGTGAGCCCAACAGCAGGAAATCCAGCAGGGATCCAGAAAATTGTGACTTTATTTTATTCTGTGATGACTCCATTTTTCAATCCCTTGATCTATAGCCTCCGGAATAAGGAAATAAAGAAGGCCCTGAGAAAACTGTTTCAGATTATGAGATTTGGTCAAAGACAGCCTCTCAAGAACTAGAATCCATATATGTATAGGACATATAGGGATATAAAATTACAGGAGTTTAATGGTCTTAAGCAAATTTGAGAGGCAAATATGTCTCCCATATTCCCTGAAATAGTTTTAGAAATGTATATCAATGAGGCAAATAGCAAACGAGATCTTACAAGAACTTGCATAAATCATTTGTACTAGATTTTATTGTATTAGTACTCCTGTGTGTTGTACGCAAACAGGAAAATGTGAAACGTTCTCAGACCTCTGCAAAAAAACCATATATAACCCAGATATCACCTGGTCAGCTTCTATCTCTTGCATATATAGGTAAATTTGCCTCTGATCCCCAGTTTCTCAGTGATCACCTGTTTAAAGTACCCACTGCTATCTCCCTACTTATCCTACAAACATGTTCATGTGTGCTTCTTTTCTCCCACTCCTGAATCTACCTTGTGTCTTGTTTTGATTACATCAATCTGCATGTGAGACTCACCCCTTCAACATTTTATCCAAAAACAAAGAAAATCCAGTTTTGTGTGGGTTCATTAACCTGACTAGAGGTTGGGGTTAGGGAGAGTTACAGGAAAGGCCACTGTGCTGAACACCCAGTCAATCTTTCATATTATCCCTGGTCTGCCTCTTTCTCTTCTTTCCTCATCCTCTTCCCACCACCTACCAGAACAACCAGAACATCTTTCTCTTTCTTATTCAGAATAATTATTTTCCACATGAACCCTTTGCGATTTTCAATTGTTCCTCAAACCAGGCTTGCCAAAGTTTCTCCTCAGCAAATCTAATTCTTTTTTTTTTTAAGGCAGATTTTATTTATTTCTAAATAAGGCAAGTAAAATGCAGATTTAGAATTAAACAGGTTTTCAATAACTTCTGGTTATTATATGGTGAGAGAATTATGAACATCAAATTTTTTAGTATTATTGTACAAAACTGAAAACAAATGCTTTCCAAATTGTAGCAACATGAACTCCCCCAATACATTAAGTCTACAAAGACACTATCAAGTTATCTGATGGCATCCAAATCCTATAATGCTTTCTCAATGTAAATTTTGAAACATTCTGAATACTTTTATAAGCCCATTTTTCAAAAATGTCATTGGAAAAATATTGAAATCAAAAGAACTTCTGTTACTTTAAGGGCTTAACATAACAAAACAAATGTGCTTTTCTAGGTTAATTTAATTCAAGTACAGTAGTACTAAAGATCACACATAACTTTAATGAAACCTAATCTTTTTGTGAAAAAGCAAGTCATAAAGTTAAACAAAATTGGAAAACTAGTATTAGAATCAGCTGCATGAGTTTGGTGTAAGTACTTATTTTAAAGTTTTAGCAGAAAAAGTCTTAAAGCTCATTCTCTTCTTTGAAGCTTAAACAGTAGGTTGTGTTCTAATCACTCAAAAGTTAATCATGTTTCTATAGCTCTCTCTTTAATTTTTATACCTGCCAATGTGTTCACGGGCTATAATAAGTCTTTGAATGTGTGCTGTACCTTCATAAATCTGATAGATCTTAGCATCCCTCATTAGTTTTTCTACAGGATATTCTGTATTAAATCCATTGCCTCCAAAAATCTGCACAGCATCAGCAGCTAACTGATTTGCAATATCTGCAGCAAATGCCTTTGCTATAGAGGCATAGTAGGTATTTCAGCAACCCGAATTAACCTCCCAAGCTGCTCTCTGGTAACTCAATCTAGCTAGTTCAACTTTCATTGCCATTTCAGCCAGCAAAAATGATATTCCTTGGTGCTCTACAAGCAGCTTTCCAAAAGTTTTCCTCTCCAGGGCATACTTGTTAGCTTCATCCAAAGCTCTTTTTGCTAGTCCCACAGGACCAGCTGCTACTGGAGGTCTAGTTTTATCAAAAGCTCCCATTGCAATTTTGAAACCAGCTCCTTCACCAATTAAAACATTTTCTTTAGGCACTCTCACATCCTCAAACACAATTCCTCTTGTATCTGAACATCGCTGACCCATATTCAATTCCTTTCTTCCAATCTGCACTCCTGGGGTATCTGCTTCCACAATAAATCCAGTAAAGGCTCTATTAGCAGGAGTCTTTGGATCCGGATCAGAACGAGCCAATAAGAAATACCAATTAGCTTTTCCTCCATTGGTTATCCACATCTTCTGGCCATTAATAATATATTCATCTCCTTTCCTTTCTGCTTTGGTTTTTATACCAGCTACATCAGAGCCATCTACAGGTTCTGTTACGCAGTAAGCACACATCAGTGGCTCCTCAGCCAGCCTCCCCAAATACTTCTTTTGTTGTTGGTCATTTCCAGCAATAAAAAGAGGCATTTGCCCCAAAGAATTTGCTTCAATAGCAGTCTGAACCCTGTGTATCCATAAGCCAATTCTTCAGTAATTAAACAAGCATCAAAAATTCCAAGTCCAAGACCTCCACAACTCTCTGGAATGTGTGTATTCATTAAGCCAAGTTCCCATGCTCTTTTAATTAGGGGGAGAGGGTACTTGCCACTTTTATCATATTCTGCAGCAACTGGGATTATTTCTTCCCTGGCAAATTTACAAGCAGTAGTTTGAAACTCTTTTTGCTGTTCAGTGAGCTCAAAATTAAATCCCAACTTTGGTTCATGCTGTAGGGCAGCTTTTGTATGTTGTGATCTCCAGTCAAAACGAGAAACACTTTTTAGGACCCTGCAGCTATGCCTAAACACTGCTGCCATGTTGACTCCCAGTCTGGATACTCCAGCAAATCTAATTCTTAAATAGGATTTTGTGAAAATAGGGTTTTTTCCCCCATTGTTTACTTTTTGGGTTGTTATAGGTTCTTATAACTTATCGTATTCCTTATCGTACTACCCCCAGTACCACTCAATACAAAAGAATAAATGTACTGAAACAGAGATGAGACCAGGAAACAAGATTACTTGGAAAAACTTAATGAAAAATAATGATTCATATTTTTAATTTTTCTAATTCATATTTTAAGTGCTTTATGATTTTAAAGGGATTTTCTCCTTTTTAGTATTAGAATTAATACTAACCATGCAGCAATGATAGTGTGTATGAGTCTGAGGATAGAAATAGGATAGTATTAAAAAAGAAAGAAAGAAAGAAAGAAGACATTGTGGCTACTCTTCAACAAATCGTGTTGGGAAAACTGGACAGCCACATGCAAAAGAATGAAACTGGACTACTTTCTTACACCATACACAAAAATACTCGAGATGGATTAAAGACATAAATGTGAGACCTGAAGCCATAAAACTCCTAGAAGAAAACATAGGCAATAATTTCTTTGATGTCAGCTCTAGCAACGTATCTTCTAGAGAGGTCCCCCACAGGCAAGGGAAACAAAGGCAAAAATAAAGTACAGGGCCTATACCAACATAAAAAACTTACACACAGCAAAGGAAGCCATCAGCAAGGGGAAAAGGCAACCTAGTGAATGAGAGAAGATATTTTTGAATGATATATCCAGTAAGGGGTTAATATCCAAAATACATAAAGAACTTAAAGAATTCAACATACACAACCAATCTGATTTTAAAAATGGGCAGAGGCTATGGACTCTGAAAAACAATCTGAAGGGTTTGAAGAGGTGGGGGGGGTGGGAGGTTGGGGGAACCAGGTGGTGGGTATTAGAGAGGGCACGGACTGCATGGAGCACTGGGTGTGGTACAAAAACAATGAATACTGTTATGCTGAAAATAAATTTAAAAAATGATTAAAAATAAAATGGGCAGAGGACCTGAATAGATATTTTTCCAAAGAAGACATACAAATGGCCAAAAGATACGTGAAAAGATGTCACCATCACTCATCATCAGGGAAACGAAAATCAAAACTATGATGAGATATGTCACCTCACATCTGTCACAGTGATGTAAAAATCAAGTAGACAAGAAATAACAAGTGTTGGCAAAGATGAGGGGGAAGAAAGAACCCTTGTGCACCATTGGTAGGAAATGTAATTGATACAGCCACTGTGGAAAACAGTATGGAGGTTCCTCAAAAAATTTAAAAATACAAATACCAAAGATCTAGTAATTCCACTTGCCAAAGGAAAAAGCAGTAAGTGGACATGCAAAATGGATGAAGGGAAGTGGGAGATACAGGTTTCCAATTATGGAATGAATAAGTCACAAGAATAAAAGTTACATCACAGAGAATAAAGCCAATAGAATTGCAATAGTGTTGTATGGTAACTGATGGTAGGTACACTTGTGGTAAGCACATCATAATGTATAGAGTCACTGAATCACTATGTTACACACCTGAAACTAATGTAACACAGTGTGTCAACTATAATAAAATAAAAATAAACCAATTTTTAAAATTTTTTATAAAGACATGCAAAAAAATGCTATAGTATGATTAGAAATAAATTAGGAATGGGAAAAATGGGAAAATGCAACAAAGATTAATAACAATTTGATTTAGAGGGACTCATAGTGCCATTAATAATTTTTCTATATTTTATCATATTTGACAATTTTTTCTTAGATTTTCTGAAATAGTGATTTTAATTGTATATAATTTTCTAGCACAGTGTATATGCCTCATAATAAAACAAAGAGCAAATGTCCTATGTGGTATGCAACTTAAAATGATAAAAAGAAAATCTTTATATAAGTGCAAAAGCTATAAAGGTGCTTCATCCAGGAAAAGAGATATTTTGGGAGAGATTTAGGCAAGTGAGTCTCAGGCCTTCAAAGTTGTCTCCCTAAAACAAAAAGAACAGTGTTTTTTGTTTTTTGTGTTTTTTTTAAGTTTCACTGAGTTGTTTTTTTATTAATCTTTTTTTTTAATTTATTTTCAGCATAACAGTATTCATTGTTTTTGTACCACACTCAGTGCTCCATGTAGTCCGTGCCCTCTCTAATACCCACCATCTGGTTCCCCCAACCTCCCACCCCCCACCTCTTCAAACCCTTCAGATTGTTTTTCAGAGTCCATAGTCTCTCATAGTTCACCTCCCCTTCCAATTTCCCCCAACTGCCTTCTCCTAACTCCCCATGACACTTCTCCAATGAAGACATACAAATGGCTATCAGACACATGAAAAAATGTTCATCATCACTAGCCATCAAGGGAGATTCAAATTAAAACCACCTTGAGATACTACCTTACACCAGTTAGAATGGCCAAAATTAGCAAGACAGGAAACAACAAGTGTTGGAGGGGATGTGGAGAAAGGGGAACCCTCTTACACTGTTGGTGGGAATGCAAGTTGGTGCAGCCTCTTTGGAGAACAGTGTGGAGATTCCTCAAGAAATTAAAAATAGAACTTCCCTATGACCCTGCAATTGCACTACTGGTGATTTACCCCAAAGATACAGATGTAGTGGAAAGAAGGGCCATCTGTACCCCAATGTTTATAGCAACAATGGCCACGGTTGCCAAACTGTGGAAAGAACCAAGATGCCCTTCAACGGACGAATGGATAAGGAAGATGTGGTCCATATACACTATGGAGTATTATGCCTCCATCAGAAAGGATGAATACCCAACTTTTGTAGCAACATGGACGGGACTGGAAGAGATTATGCTGAGTGAAATAAGTCAAGCAGAGAG